AGGAATTGATGAATAAAAGACTCCCGGGGTCGGGGACACTCTGAGTGGAACATGCTGGAACTCAGCAGCTGCAAATTGAGCTGCCAAAGTTCCTCAGTCTCCTCGGGGGGTGGGAAAAAAGAGAGAGGAGAAGAAGAGCTTAATGGTAACTGTCATTTTGTCTGGTGGGACTGGGAACTCTACAAATAGCCTTCAACCAGACCTCTGGCCTAGAACAAACAAAATCAACAGTCGGTCCTTGAGATTCAGAGATTCGTTTGGGCCTGTAAATGCTCTTGAAGGGATGCGGAAAGTAAATGCACAAATATTTTTCATGTTTATATGCTATTTATATCAGGCACCATCATCCTCAAGAGTCTTTTGCTAGTAAACTGATGTATAATTCAACGCAGGGAGGCTTTAAATGGTTACACCGTAACACATTCATCACCGTTTCACTGAGCACTGTAGGTAATGCTGCCCTAATGCAATCATTAGTCTTGGCTCTTGACCACCACGGGGCTGCTACAGTAGCATTAGCACCGTCTCCCACGATTTCCTGTCAAGGACACGCCATCTCCCAATAAGTGCAATGTTTTGTGCCATAGAAGCCACTATAAATTGCCGTATTCTTGAAAGAAAAGGAGCACAAACTGCAGGAAAGAGACATAGTTCCTGGTAATAGAATAAAAGGCTATGAAGGAAGCACCCCTGAGGAAGTGTTTGTGTATTGTGTATTAAGAGACTACAGTCCTAAGAGGGCTTTTCCCCCCCGTTCTCACACTCCATCTCACAATGGAAAGAGAAATTGGGGAGGAGCCATTTTAAATCGGAGGTAACACTGTGTCCCTGGTGCAAACGTTACCTTTTCAAAGAGCTGCGTGAATCATAAACATTTACACTGCTCGGGAGCCTGGGGAACGAGACGGGAGGGAGCTTGCCATCCATCAACTTCCTGCCTCTGTTTGTTTCCAGGAAGAATGAGGGTGAAAAAAAACCCCATAAAAACAAAAGCAAAACGGGGCAACAAAGAAGAGTCTTTATATCCAGAGTCTCTGTTTATGTCCTTTGGCAATTGCAGTTTAAACTTGTTTCACTGTACTAGAACAGTAAAATGGTAGATCAGAGGTATTCCCACTATAACCGCTATATGCCTCAGTGTCCTGGTGAATGAGTGTCTGTTTCCTAGCTGCAGATGTAGATTTATGTTCATTATCAAAATCAGTAATATCTGTAAGTATTGTAGCAACCTCATTTTTATATGGTGAAATTTAATTATTCTGATTGTTTGAGTTTTTTAAAATTGTTTTATTAACCACTGGTCTTCCATAGCATACATTTAGATCATGATAAACACAGTTAAAACCACAAATATAGCACCTCAATACCATGGTAAAAATGTAATATGGTTTTTAGGTATTTGTATGAAAAACAGTAGGCTAGCTAGTCTAAATAAATTTAGTATAAATGCATAAACGCTATAGCTTAATCACAAACAAATACTGTAATTATATTCCATTATTCCTCCTTTAATACATTTAAAACATGTCTACATTAATAATATAAATTCGACAAAAATACCAACATTTCTGACACAATACCATGGTGCAGTTAGTGCTACTACAGTAAATCTATGGTAAATTATGGCAATTTGTAGATTAAAAAGTCTTCTAACTGTATCGTTGCGCACAGTGTTTCTCCTGTTTGTAAGCGCTGTTTCATCTGGCTGTAAACAGTTACTTGTGTTCTTCGCTGAATGCAAGCGCATCCCACTGGATCTCACAGCACCATTTGATCGAGACTCATCAGCGAGTGAACACATCTACTCTAATGAAGCTCGCGTTGCGCCGCCGTTTAAACTTTGATCCAAGTGGATAAACGGTCTGAGTGACTCGCTTCAAATGACTAGCGCTCTTTCGTTCCGCCTTTGCCTCATAAACATTATATCGAAAATGTATCGACCTCTTGTTATCGTTTATCGAGGAAATTTATATCGCACGATAATTATCCTTATTGATTTATCGCCCAGCCCTACCCAGGTGAAAAAGACGTAGTATTAAATGTATTAAAAATATACTTGAAATTCAAGTAGTATGTTTATAATACATTTGTATTCCCAACATGCTTATTTGAAGTGCAATAAAAATATACTGAATTGCATTTTAATATATTTCTAAAAAGTATACTAGAAGTACTTTTGTATTAAATATATGTTTAGTTATACATCTAAGAAATATGCTAAACAGAAGCATACTTTTAATGTATTTATAAAAAGTATACTAGAAATACTTTGGTAATAAATATATGCTTAGTTACACTTTTAAGGAATATGCTAAACACAAGCACACTATTAGTATATTTCTAAAAAGTATAGTAGATTAGAAGCTTTGCGATATTTAAAATATGTTGTTTAATATGTTGTTCAGTTTTACTTAAAAGGTTATGCTACTTTGGTTGATTAGGCTGTTGTTCATTACATGATACATTAATTGTAATAAGCTAGGTGTTTATAAATTTGTTCAAGCTTGACGCTTTTATTTTCTAATATATATTTCTGAAATTCCCACAAGGATTTCAACATCATATAATAATAAAAAATAAAAAAAACTTGCGTGTACTTGTGTTTAAATTCAAACAACACACTGACTAAACCTGATTGAACCATTGTCTGAGTGCAGAGACAAGCAAAGGAATAGTATATTTTCATGTTGTATCACCTCTGTTATAGAGATTTTTGAATCAGGCCTAAAAACGATGCTTCAAATATACTCCTAACTGTAGTTCATGAAGTATTAAAAGGACATTTTAAATGTATTTGAAAAAATACACTTAAATTGCACTAAATATACTTAAAGTGGTTCCAATTTAACACAATTTCAATATATTAAATATATTACAAATAGATTAAAATCAAACTTAAACATATCTTGAAATACACTTAATATACTTAAAGTTGTTTCAAAATAATACATTTAATATGCACTTAGTATAGTATAATTTAAATATAGTAAGTATGTCTGAAAAACCACAATTTAAATATATTTCTTTTTCACCTGGGTACTCATAGCTACCAGTAGGTCTGTCTTTGAAGGTAGAAGGTTTGTTAAAAATAAATTACCTTGCGAAGAAAATAGCAGATTTTTTTCGGGGACTGTCGCAACACATAAAACAACAGAGATTGTAATGGAGGATGAATGCCATTATATTTCTGGATATGTAAGGACAACGGTTAGTTCATTTCATATTTTTCAATAGTCTTTGGCACACATGTGGCTAAAGACATTTAAAGCATTCAAATGAGAGCTGTACATCCACTGCACTGCATTTCACTGGAGACAAAGGGCCTGTAGCTGCTGCAGAATAATATGATAGAAGACATGCCTCAAAATGACATTAGTATCTGATACTTGTCACCGTCTAATGGCTTTGGTTAAAACCGATGACTGTGACGTTGAAGTGCTTGCTCGTTTTGCTTATTTGCTATCCTTTATTTTCAATGTTTGCTTGCTCATGAGCAGATAAGAGCTTTGCTAATGATAAAAAGGCAGACCTGGAAAGGCTTCATCTACTTGTAACACTCTCTGTGTACATTTTTCTAATTGTGTCCAATTATGTGAGTGCCGAGCTGGAGGGTTTGTCAGAGTGCATTTTATGAGTCCTATATATGCATTTCTCTTACAGAGAGACATCTACAACATCTTAAACTGTAGTCATGAGACTCGCTAATCATTGTTCATTATACGTTGACAGGAAGTTGGCAGTGGAAGAAATGCAGAAAGATCTCCATCATGGAAACCCAGAGGCTTGTAAATCCTCTCAGTGGTTTCCATAGCTCAGACAACACGTGGACGCCGCGGCAAGCCTAACGATGCTCAAACAAATCTGCTGATGCATCTGACGCATTTACATATAAAATGTAAATGGGAGGAAGTTTCCTCTTCTCCGGTTGCCAGGTAGCCATACGTCTTGCAATTCATCTGGAGAACAAACCGGCTAATTAGCCTGCTGGAATTAGCCATAGAGCACACGATCTGGACCAAATGAGATCTTAATTGGTTCACCTGCCAATTCTACATATTTCAGGCTCATGCTTTACAGAGGGGGAAAAAAACACAATGAGGAGGAACAAGCTCAATTATTTTATAGCCGTTAACTCAGTCTTTTCTCTTCCTTAGCTCTCTTATTAGGCTCTTCTTCCCCAAGCAAGACGCTGAGATCTGTAAGCAGTACTATGAGTCAGACGCAGCCAGGCTTGATTTTGCACATCGCAGGCAAGCCACAATGCCTCATGTTCTTTAAACACCAATCTGAGAGACCGTCCTGCCGATTTTAATGACCTCGTCTCCCTCAGAAATGCTCTTTATTCTGCTCTCTTTCTATTCAGCAAATGTCAAGCTCTCATTGTAATTCAGAAAATTGGTTGACTAATTTCCGTCCGACAAGAATAGAGTTCTCGCTATTGACTATTAGCGGCCGCTGGAGGTGTTCCATTGTTCTAAATTACACAGATCAAAGGCTGATTGAGCATGACAACACAAAACAATCGGTGCAATAAAACCATCCGGAGCCCTCTTTCGCGCTTTGATTCTCTGTAGCGCTGCCACTCGTCGCTCTATAACTTTGTAGCGTTGAGTGGCAGTAGCTGAGAGTGAACATGACCTCCTACTGACTCCTGCCAACATACCGGATGTCTTTAAAGGCAGTTGAAAAAAAAGAAACATCAACATTAATTCCCTGCTAAATGATCCGCGTGAATTATGTATGAGGAGACTGCGTGATATGTAGATTTCCACCTTCAACCTTTGTCAGCCTAATTGCTGCCATTTAGGTCTGGATCTGAAGTGTTGCAGTCGACTGTAGACGTGGCTCACATCCGTCAATAATGTTCCCGGGCTCGTATCAAAGACACGCCAGGAAGAGAAGTGCTGCCTGTGCATTAGCAAGGCGCCTCAAGGCCAACTCTGCCTGCTTGATACTTTTTTTCTGGATGCTTTCAGCTAGTCGAGACCTTTCTGTCTTACCTTGGTCAGGTAGTTGCGAGTTGTTGGGGGGTACGTTCATATTCAGTACGTCGTTGACAGCTGTGTCGGCGTAGTGCCCTCTCTGAACGTCATGTTCGCTGTCGGTTTGGTCGCTCTCCTCGTGGCCACTGTCCTTCAGACTGTTTCCTTCCATGTCCTTGAATGTTGACGTGCTATAGCCAGGTGAAGTAGAAAAACGAGAGAGAAAGAAGGGAAGTGTTATTTAACTGTCAACTTTGGTTTCATCATTCTTTTAGTCTCTTCACCCAGTGCTACCTTTATTTAGCTCTTAGCCGCACAGATGGTAAAGCTGAAAAGAGGCGGCTTTTCTCACATTCTGATATGGTGGGGTAAAGGGTCAGGGGTGACTGGTCTATGGCCGTTCAGAGCTCTTATGTGTTGCTGTGGTCAAAGTTCATTTTATATAGACTATGTCAGAAAACTGTCTTGTATATCTGTTGGTTGTAGAAGCATCAAAGGGATAGTTTACCCAAAAACTCATAATTTAAGCACTCAGACATTCAAGACTCTATAATAACATTGTCTTGTATTTGTAACACAAAATGTGACTACTGAAAAATATCCTGGCTGTTCTATAACAAAAATGAATTGACTAAGGCTGTTGAGGTCCAAAAGAAAAAAAGAAAAGAAAAAAAAAGTATTTTACAAGTGGTCCATATGACTTTGTGGCTTTGTATGAGGAACAGACCAAAATGTAAGTCATGTGATGATAATGTAAGTAATTAATAACAGTGCTGACATATTTGATTCTCTGTTGTTTTTTTTCCTGACTCTGTGACATCTAATGGCTTCAGAATACTTTCAGTAAATGACTCACCTGACACCTGTACTACGTTTATGATATATTAAAAAATTCTATAAAATTCATCTTCTGGAATGACACGAGGGTGAGTAAATGATGGCAAAAATGTCATTTGTGGGTGAACAAAAAAGTATCTCTTTAAAACATTTTTTAATGTAAAATGTGACATCTTAAAAAAAAAACACAGACATTTTGTATTACACCACTGCATACAAGATGAGCTATCAATATTTTTCTGGAAAAGAAAGACTTTCACATTTTGACAAAAAGCTACAAATTTGATTTCATGGGGTTTTCAGTGTAAAAAATCAGGTCACTTCGTCTTTTCAAGGAGAACTTATTTTGGTCACATACATTTCTGGAAGTTTTTAAGTAGAGGTGTAACAGTTTGAGCAAACTGTGCTTTCCCTCTTTACCCTCATTCACTGACATAAAAGAGCGAGAGGAGGGAAAAAGCTGCCAATTGACAGTGGCAGTGGCAGTGCACAAGCCTAATTTCCCTTAATTTGATAGTTAGCCCAGTGGAACGCATTCTGCCTCTGAAGCAACAGTGAGGATCACAAACGCATGCGTACACATACACACACTGACATACATAGACAAAAGCATCTCTGTAGCCTCTTCTAAGGAGAAAGACGAGAGAGAGAGAGAGAGAAGGATTCCAGCAATGTAATTGCAATGGTGGTAGTGCAGCCTCTGATTTTATCAGTCTAATTGCACCTGTCCCAGTCTGTTCGCCCACAGGCTCCGGAGGGGATTTCTTTGTAATGTCGCAGAGCCAAACAGCCGACACTTGAATACTCTTTGTTTATGTAAACACAGGCAATGCTTTTTTCAGAAGATAAAATTGCTGTAATTGGTTTGAAAAATGCAGTACTGAGGTAAACTGCAATGTTTTTTGCTCCAGGTAAGAGAGGCATTGCGGTCCCGGTGCACATCTGTAGCAGCCGGGCCCCAGGCGGCCGAGGACCTTCATTAGGGATGCCTGCATGCCCATGCTCTGTGTCGGTCAATAGCCTCCTTTTAGGTGGACTGAGGAATGCTGGCCAAGTCCTGCCAGTACAAAGGATCTATTGTCCTTGCTCTTTTCTTCCACAATGCAAAATAAGGTTACCTTTTCCTTATCTCTTACATGGATGGTCTTACAAAGCCCTCCTTGTGTGTACTGAGGATGAATCCTCTGGAATTCCGGGATTTAAATTCTTGTAGATTTAGCTATCTGATTAACATCTACATGGATGTAGCTTAACCACCCAAACCTCTGCTCTGGGCTACAGCTTTAATATTCTCTAACATGTAATATGTATACAAGTTTTTGCAGGCATTTGATTAAATTATTCATACTGGGGAAGAAAGTAGAACTACCCGATGAGGATGTGCTTAATCACTTATAACACTGAATTATTAAAGCTTAACATTGGCCATTTATAAACATGTTGAGTATTAATATCTTGCCTACTGTATGTGGCCAAACCCTAAGACGGTTTATGAACCAAAAACGTATTTTTTAACAAAAATTTTTAATGACAAACGCCATCTTTTTGTGTGTGTGTGTGTGTGAGATAAGATGCTAATGTAAGTACAAATGTACCGTACTATAACCGTATGTCCATCCACTAAAACTAATATGCAAAAACGTCTCATTCTGAAATATCCAACATCACAAACCCGAAACAATAAAAACTTAGTCCATCTGATCAAGGTGAGAGAAAGCGGAATGTATAGTACATAAATTGTATTGTATTACACATGCAAATGGTGAACAACATAAAACAGAACATTTAACAGTTAAAAAAGGTACGATCTTGCCGCTTTAAGAATGCATCAAAATGAGTGAGATAAGTTAATATGATTGCTTTATAAAGACATACCTTTTAATTAGGTGTGCTCTGCTGTTTACATAACTGGAGTCAATGGAATAATTCTCCGTCTGGGGGAAAGAGACAGAATTAAAGAGAGAGAAAGAAAAAGAAAGAGAGAGAGAGAGAACAAAAATGAATTTAATTACGCAGCAAACAAAATAATGTCACCAGTAATTGCCTTTCAATAGAAATGTTATTTTACACAAAGACTTTAGCTGCCTGGGCTTTCAAAGGCAAACTCTCCCATTCTCTTTCTAAGCACATGTGTACTGTTCTGCTGCAGTGAGTCTGCTCCTGTCGTCACTCCTCCAGCCTCCCCCCACCCACAAAACCATCCTTAGTCAGACCACGCTCTTCAAAATGTCATTAAGCCAGATAGGGGAATAGAAGGAGGGGTTGGGGGTTAGAGAAGAAAGTTTCCTCTCTTCCAGTGCTGCTTTTCCTCACTCCACTTTTGAGGATGCTAATATAAACATATCAAAGCAATACATAAATGGAGGAAGGAAATTAAGAGTATGCCAGTGGATTTTTTAACTTCACAAATGCAGATGAAAAGGCCTCAATGATCTGCATACGATGACTCTTTGACCCACAATGAAAAAGAGACTTCAGAGTCTTTTGGAAAGCAGCGCTTTTTGAATAAATGACTAGAAGTACACAGTAGAACTGGGTGATATATATCAAGTATTCGTAGTATATTTGTGGTGGTATTACTAGTGTTATGAAATTAAGCAAAACAATGAATTATGCAGAGACTTTAATGCACTTTATATTTGGCCATTCAATTTTACAAACAGCATGACTAATTTCACAATCCTCTTTGTCTTTTGACTTGCAGGAATGAGAGCGCTAAGACAGACATGTTCTTAAGTCAATGGTCTAAACGTCGGTAAGTTCTATTAATTTCCATCAATCAGTTCAAATTTTCAATTGAATCAGAACTCTAGAACTCAGTGATTCACATATTTAGTGTTATTTGGTAAACAAATATATGAAGAGTTCAATTGCAGATAACAGGTAACGCCGTTTTTTAACAATTTTCAAAAATCATGTTTTTTCATTGTGCATTCCAATTAATCTCAATCAAACTGCAGTTGGGTTATAAGTAAAAATAACTTAAAAATACAGCATAATAAAACACAATGAAAACATGATAACGTAATAAAAAACATGGTTTTTGAAAAAAAAAAAAAAAAAAACGGAAAACTTGTCAATACATAGAAAAGATGGTATTGATTGTACCTTACCAATTCGAGCCGGAGTCTGATGATGAAACGGTTGAACTGGCTGATCGACAAGAGACTGATTCGCAAGCATGACTGGAGCAGGACGATTTTTTTGATAGACAATAACTTTATTTACTATGCACTGTCGGCTTCACAACTTTGCAGATAGTTTATGTTCACATACAGCTACATGACACACTGCATGAAAGGTAATATTCAAAAGGCATAATAGGGGAACTTTAAGTAAAGATCATGTTCCAAGAAGATATTTTGTAAATGTCCTACCGTAAATATATCAAAACTTAATTTTTTATTAGTAATATGCATTGCTAACAACTTCATTTGGACAACTTTAAAGGCGATTTTCTCAATATTTTGATTTTTTTGCACCCTCAGATTCCAGATTTTCAAATAGTTGTATCTCGGCCAAATATTGTCCTATCCTAACAAACCATACATCAATGGAAAGCTTATTTATTCAGCTTTCAGATGATGTATAAATCTCAATTAAAAAAAATCGACCCTTATGACTGGTTTTGTGGTCCAGGGTCACATATGTAAATAATTTGTGCTGTTTATGACTATTGCTCTATTGGTGCATCTAATTAAATATTATTAAATATTATTACTTACGTTAATTTGGTTTTGTAATTGTAATTTGTAATCTAACTGGCTAGTTAGATTGGCTAGATTCAACATGTAGGTATTTTCCATGGTGAGAAACCTGCCTTCTCTCTCAACTTCAACTTAATCTGATTCTAAAATGAGATAGAAAAAGAAATCAATGGCTTCCTTCCAGGGGTATGTCTAGCCATCAGCCCCCCTGACAACAGCAGTCACCCAGACGATAAGAAGGTTAATGCAGACAGTGCAACACGACCAATGATTATTGCGCCAGCCAGGGACATTCAGACTAGCTGCTGGGAGACAGATACAAGCTATCATAATCACAGATGGAATAACTCTGCATAAAGATCTATGATCTCAAACACATGCGCATTTCCCCCATCTGTGTATATCAACAGTGGCTAGGAGATCCCTGCAGCATGATGTGCGCATCAACAACTGTAAACACTTAAAAGTGACATGTTAGTGGAATTAATTTCAAAAGGGATTTATGGAATCCTACTTTTACAGTATTTACAAATTCTTTCTTGGTTTACAGGGTAGTAATACTCATCACTGTCCACCGTAGACCTTCCATCACCAGTCAATGAGCTGCTGCGTACCGTCTCACCTCCACACTCTCTAATTACCGCTACGCCTGATAATATTTTAATTACAAGTGACAGCTGACCAGGCGTCGAATTGAGATTTTTGGGCTGGTGAAATCTGGACCCACTGAAGGTTAACGCTCTCTTTTGTGTGTATGTGTGCGTGTGGGGTGTGTGTATGTTCTTGGTTGCGTGGGTGTTTGCTATGGCTCTAATTAAACCTTAAGTCATTGTAATCAAGGCGATAATTTGTAAAAAGCCATTTTAATTAACATTATATTAGCAGACCTCAATTTGGAACATACTCTTGTTTGTTCTCGTTGCAGCTCAAAAGGTAGTTATTTGCCTCTTTGTTCCTATCCGGCATGATTCCATTAATATCAAAGTAATGGGCATGAGCAATTATTTCAGTACTCTAACAGGGCAGGTGTATAAATAAATAAATATATATATATATATATATATATGCAAAGAATTTTGTTTTTTATGCCACCTGTGCTCTACTTTAGTCCCTGTGAGAACTCATTACAGAGCCTTTCCATCACCACGGTCGTCCACAAAAAGACTAATGAGCAGCAATGGACTGAGTAACAAGGGGAAAGCTTCATTAAAAAGACAGTATACAAATTTCCAAATGATCTGCCTCCGTGTGGCCGGCCCATAATTGGTTCTGAGCGGCGCTATTCGGAGCTCTGCTGGGAGAGCGAGATTCCAGGCTGTCCTTCTTGTGCATCTGCACATACGAAGCTTTGCTCTCGCTCTCCTCGGCCGTGACACTTAAAACAAATGAGAGCCCTGTTGAAATGCAGTTATGCTGCGCGGATCGCTGACCCTTTTACGAGAAGAGTCGCTATCGATGATGCAGGCTCAGTCATCTCAGCAGATTTCCTTCTGTTGACATTTTGATCTCTCTGCTTAGATCAGAGTGGGCTAATTGGAGTAATAGCTTCAGTTATGCAAATGCGGCTGCCGTTCCACAGAGACATCTCACTGCTGGAGATTACGAAACATGCTTCAGTACTGTATTCCAGCAGATATCAACATGTTCTTTGAAGAACGTGATAGATAAGTGGCATTATTCCACAACAAAAGCATCTATTGATGTGTGGTGATGATTCGCTAATGGATCGTCATAATTAGTAAGCTTCACCCAAAAAGGGATATCAACTGTATTACGCAACGCTCCTTTGTGTTTTTCATTAATTCAGGTTGATGGGCCAGAGGGCATTTAAGAGGCGCCCTTGGCCCTTAGAGGTCTTTATGCCAGAGAGCTTCCATGCATTAGCAGCAATCTTTCTGTAAAGTAATGTACTGTATGCCTACACTGCTGACCGCCATCAAATCATAAGGGCTATCAATATTTCTTTCACAGAGGTCGGGTTTCAGGCTCGGAGATGAGGGCTGCTTAAACTACAGACGAGATGCCACAAATGGCTACTTAATCAGGTTCTACAATGTGTTGTTATGATCCGAGCGGCCCCAGTTTGGCGGCCAGTGTCACCCTATCCCCTTAATTATAGTTGTGTTTCTTCCCACATACTTGAGGGTCCAGTGGGCCAAATCACACCCTAAGAGCTCTGTGAACGAAGGCGGAAGGGCCGGAGAGGAAAGTAATGGAAAGGGGGCGGTAAACGAGACCCTAACCTCATTTTTTTCCTCTCTCTCTTTCTCTCTAACCCACAGCCTCTAACCCCAACAACCCTCCCCTCCGAACTCCTCCAACTTCAGCCAGCGGAGAGGAAAAGCAATCTCCTCGCTTAGTTGCCGCTGTGAGATTTGATTTGCCTTCTTCTCAGCTTGACAATTGGTTCCGTAGTCCGGATGTGAGAGCATTCATTGTACGGGGGCCAGATGCACCGAGCGAGAGGAGCAGGAGTTCTTCAGGTGGCAAAGGAATGAAAAAAAAAAAACACTTGTCACACCTCTGCTGCAAATTATGTATTATCTCTTCTGAGATACTTGAATTTACACATTCAAATTATGCAGTAATTCAAACTGCACACTATAACAGCAATTAATAATTATCAGACTGTACTCTTGTTTTCACAACCATAGATAAAATGCCTATTAAATCTGATTTCAGGACACAAAACTAGTTAAATTAAGGCTTGAAGCATTTTCTTTTTTCATTTTAGGGAGTGGTTGGGAACAAGAAAAAAACGTGTCTTGAAGATCAAGCGAGTCTCCTTTTTCTTCTAACCACTACAGTTCAAATGCTCCTAATATGTCACAGTCAAGAGGCGGAAAAGCATATTCTCACTGTGCTTCCACTGAATACAAATGCTGTGGCTAAATACAAATTATTTTTAAAAAGCTATATGTATAACATGAACTAAAAGAAAAGCAATATGAAGGACCTCAATTAAAATAAAACCATTCCGTTTACTCAATTTAACAGCAGTTCGGTACTCTGTGTTATTTGGAAGCTGAATCTTCAGTCATCTTAAGGCTTATTTACACAGTCCCCAGAGTGCTGGGAGGAAATTGGTACTCATAATGAGTCCTGTTGTTTATTTACCTCCATCCACAAGGAGCTTACTGGAGAGAGTTTATCATGAGGCAAAGGCAGGTAGCGCATAGCTATTTTCTCGTAAAAAAAAAAAAACACTGGAGACAGGCTTTGTTGAG